TTGCAAGCACAGAAGACTCAAAAAAGCTGACAAAGTTTCCAAATAACAAATTAATAAATATCTGAGATTCTGAATATTAAAAACAAATATAGAGTACATGTTCAACTAGGTTGAGAATCCCAGATAGCACCAGGTAAAAGGAGATGAATAACTATCAGGTCATATGAGACAGCCTTAAAATCCTCAATGAAATTTAACTTGGCTGTTTTGTTGATGAGTAACCAAATGATTTAGAAGCTTAGATATAAAAATTTAATAGTCCCCAATTGCTTTAGAAGTTTAGATACAAATATATAATTGTAAAGAATCCTTCCATTTAGCCTCTAAAAACTGAAGAAAATAGAAATTGGGGAGCCATTTAACCATCAAAGGAAGCTGTAGAGATACATCCCTTCATCATCTCCTTTGCTTATCCTCAAATCTCATGTGGGTTGTTGTACAGTCTTAGGAACCCCATTTACCAATGCCAGTCTTCCTAATCTGATCTTAAAAACAAGGGAAGGTGTAGCATGGACAGAGTGAGCATAATATATACCAGTGTTTGAAATCCCGGCGATCCGGATTGGGAATCACTTAATTCGGACTGGGAATTGGCCGAGCCCGAAGAGATTTTGGGAGAGAATCCTTAAAACCCCACACCCCCCCCCCCCCCCACACACACAAAAAACCTTCATATTTTTTTTTCTTTTACCTTAAATAATTTCTTTGCATGGTCTTGTTGTAGATCCCCGTGGAAACAAGGGTGGTCATTAAGTTGAACTTTGATGGTTGCTCTCTTAGGAATCCTATGCCAGTGGTGGGTAATCCTATGCCAGTGGCGGCGGGGGGCCTGTTTCAAAACAGTCACGCCTAGGTGCTACCTGCTTTCTCAGGCCCATCAGGAATGAGGTTTCTACCTCGTAGGACTGAAACTTTCGTAAAAGCTAGGGGTCTTCTATTGTAGTAAAGGGGAATTCCCAAACCTTGTCTGATGGTCTTCAAGTTTGTCCACAATGCGATGGAGACTTCAACCCATTTTCGGCCAAATTCAAGCACTTAATTGTCCACTTTTTATGTCGTTCAAAGTTTCAAACTGAGGGACCCATGCCACCTTTTTACCTCGTTCACCTCAATGCGTCACTGAGGGTCAGCAAGCCCCAGACAGATCAAACCGAAACTATGTTGGCCTGCGTGGACACCAAATGTGTCCCTGGCCCCGACGTGGTCCAGATATTACCAGAAAACCCCTCAATTTTAAACATAAGATTTTAATCCCAAGTTTTAAACGAAACATTGGTGGTTAATTAGTGAGAACCAAACTATTTTATTTTCTTGAAAACCCTTCGAAAGTCACTTTAAAAACATTGGAAGAGGATGCTACTAGCAATGAACTTTGAACATCCATTAGACATTCCATAACCAACGATCAAAAATTCAGCCGCTCGACCTCCTAGGCGAAAAAATGTAAAAAATGCTTAGGCGCAGTATGGGCAGGGTCATCATGCACCATGTCTCAAGGCACCCACCTAGGTGGTCAAGGCACCGCCCCGTGACAACTTTTAGGTGGGCGGAAAAATAACCCTCGGTGAGGATAAAAAATGCAAATTTTTTCCCCTAAAAAGGGGGAAAAAGGATTTTAGGGGGTATTCTAAACCCCCAATAGAAAATTAGTGCCCTTTAGGGTAAGAAAAACTCCCCAAAAACCAATCTTTTGTTATTTATCGAAAGATCAATAAATTTTTTATATTTTCGATTTCTTCCCAAAATGAAGGCAATAGTCCGTGGGTGGATTTAGAGCTTCTAGTAGTTGATTTTGAGAACTTTTGGCGACCCAATAGACGAGGTTTGCACCGACATCGATTTGATTTTGATATTTTTAAAGTATTATCATATTTGAAAGAGGGTTTTGATTTTATTTTGCTATAACATATTATTTTCTGAATCATGTGTTTTTTTCTTTTACTTTTACTTTTACTTTTTTTTTCTTTTACGATATATTTACATGTTTGTAGTTAAAAAAATGATTTTTTTGGTGATTAATTGAATTTTTTCTCATTTGGATGATGAAATTGAGCAAATATCGTATTCATTTATAAATAGTTGATTATTTTTTTGTACAATGTGTCTTATTTTGATATTCTATTTTTTTGTTTTAGCTTATTTGATAAAGGGTGTGGTTTCTATAAGGTTGCAACCTTAAACAATCCAATCAAGGCGCACCACCAAATTTTATCGTAACATGTAATTTTAGTGTAAAAGGTTTTTAGGATTATATGGAAATTGATTTTCATATCTAATTATGAAATTTTAAACTCCAAAAATGGTTAAAATCAAGTAGATCTATAAACATATGAAACTCTAGAAAATGGACGGTCTAGATAATATGTTGCAAGATACACTATTTTTAGGACTCAAAATATATATATTTTTATATTCATACATCTCGATGTCAAGGTGATCGATTAGAGGGCTTTTCAATATTAAAATAACATTTTCCGATGGATTTTTTAGGTGCATTTTTCTTTCTACATTTTAAGGTTGCAACCTTATATAAACTTTTTCCTTTGATAAATAATTGATTATGTGATATCTTAATGGGTTAAGTCTTATGTGAAAGTGAAACTAAGGTCTTAAAATGTCTTATATATTCAATTATTCATTTAAGTCTTATTGCAAAGTTATAGTTGTACTATTATATTTTCATCTATTTCATGATCACGAGGAGTTTGGGGCTCTAAACTTGCCCTAAAAACTCCCTGAGGCTTTAAACCATGCCCTAAGAACTCCCCTATTTTTTATGTTTGGGCTGGGGGGAGGGGGGGAGTTGATTTTAGTGAGGGCACCCTAACCCTGAGAGCCCGCCTAGGCGACCAGGCACCCAAACCGCCTAGGTGCTTGAATCAGTCTTTTTGAACAACTTCTCTACGACTACAAGTACACCTTAAACTAATCCAAAAACCCATGACCCACAAGTTTCCACGCAAGGGGCTCAAGATTTGTTTATCAAAGTTGACTAAGCCATAGAGGTGCCAGTGTAGCAACAAACTCCAGTTGTGAATTTCCCAAGGACAAGTTTATAAGATCACATAGACAGAGCACTAAACCGAAGTGTCCAGGTTCAGGTTCTATGAGGTAGTATTATCTCATGCACATTTATCCTACCAACCCATTCACTACCGGACTAAAGTGCACGACTAACAGCACACACACTGTGTAGGATGTTGTGTCGATGATTTCAGGCACTCGTCCTCACAAGCTACCATCCCAACACACTCGAGCCTATTTCAACCACAGGGATAATACTGACCTCGATAGCCCTCTTCAATTAAAGGGACTAAGCCTATCCCAGGATGCAGGTCCACTCTTCTAGTCAAGGCCTAGAAGTACACCAAGTCAAGAGTAACAGAGCCCACTATGTCCTAGATAAAGATAGGTCCAACCACCTCTAATGGTTTATTTCATCCAAGAATGTTCAAAATGTAGTTCAAACACATGGGGAATACAAAAGCTTTTATCAAAAGAAACAAGAGAAACCTAGAGACCCTAGAATTCAGAACCCTGCGAGCCTTTAGCATTCTAAATCCTAGAAGCCCTAGGACAATACCCTAATTCCTTGCCATCTACAACAATCGTGAAACTTTGAAACCAAGAGCCCTAGGAACAACATGCCCTAAGCAATCAAAACCCTATGAAGAATATGCCCTAGGCAAAATTCCCTTGGAAGTTCAAGAAAACTTCTTAGGATCAAGCAAAACTCTCTAGAGTTGAGGATAGATGCTTCAACTGCTAGCCTAATCAGAGCCACTAACTCCAGGTGCTGGGTTAGGGTGACCGGCTTCAAAGTAAATAATTATTTTCTTTTCCCTTTAATTTCCAGTTCATTTTCTTTAAAAAATTCATTCAAAACCTTTCTTGCTGTTTCTTTCAATTTTTCTTGGTTTCTCTTATTGGTGTTCACGGGATCTCAAGCCGGCCCTACCAACGGTGTGCGAGGAGAAGTTTTGCTTCTGCAGACTCCTCTTTACAATAACCTCGCTCTTTTCTACCGAATGTTAATCGATTTAGTTTAAAGCATAAATTAAAAAGGATTTCATCAGAGATCTTCTTGGATTTGGCCGTAAAACATAAGAGAACAACATCTTAAAATCAGTCCAAGTAACAACACATACAGATATCCTATGGAGAATCTAGTAATAAGGATGACTCCATCTATGACTAGGAACACCATTATAATCAAGAGTAGTTCCTTCTCAAGAATTTGTTGAAATTTAAAATGCTTGGGAAGGAATAGTTTCTTCACAATTGTGATGATAAGGAATTATCCTACTTAACTTGATTGAGGAACAGATTCCCAAATGTCTTCTTCTCAAGCATGACAATAAGAACTTTTTCCATGATTGTAACACACAACTGACGCCAAAATCCTCTCCCTCCCTCCCTCCCTCCCTCCCTTGAGAAAGTATGAATTATGCTGCACATTTGTGTCTCTAGGGACCAACCCTCCCTCCCTCCCTCCCTCTCTCTCTCTCTCTCTAAACCGTTACCACAATCATGCTATTGCTGCAGTCTTCCTTCCTTGAGCAAGTATGAAGTATGCTGCACACTTGTGACTCTAGGGACCCATTTAGGGTAGTTAAAAATTGTGATGATGTATAAAGAAGTTTAAGGTGATATGTTAGTTGACGAAAATGAATCCAAAAAAGTCCTGGACATAGCAAGTGACACCTATAAAGGAGAATCATGTAGGTGACCTCAATAATGTTAACAGTTTCCTAAAATGGTTCATGAAGAAAGGTTATATGCACATTAAGAACATCAAATGCAATGAGAAAACAATTAAATGCAAAATTCGGAAGAAAGGGTACATATGGGAGTCTCTGTGATATATAGCTCTTGAAAAAGAAAAAGAAAGGCACAAAATTGGTACTAAACAAAAACAGCCATAAGTACAAAATGATAAACATGACACAAACAAAGTGGTATTAAAATTGATTTCACCAAACGAAGAACAAAAGAAAAACTAAGAAGACTAATCAATCCAATCCATTCGAGATAAGCACATCAGGTCCAAGTGCATTCAATTCAAAAGTTTGTCTTCTATTGGAACAATGCTACCAAAGGCTACAGAGTGAGAGAAAATATACATCAAACTCAAATACTAGAGCGACCCACTGCCACAGTATATAAAAACAAAAGGGACTAGAAATCAAGTTAGAATGTACCTAAAATTCTCACCTTTAGCTACAATCCTCAACCATCCTTGCAATAAAAGAGATAATTTTTCAGCCATTAAATTTTTCTCTGATGCTTTCTGTTCCCAAAAATAACCTCCCAAACTTTACGCGAAAAAGATCCCTTCTTGTCTAAGTACTCTCTCACTACTCTCTCATCAGTAGCATACCCTTTCTCTCTCAACCCCGCTATCAATTTCTCCACGTCTTCGATCATATTCTCCTTACAAAACCCATCAACCAACATCACAAAAGTCTGAACATTTGGGCTCCAACCACTCTCTACCATCTCCAAACAAATCTTAGCCCCATCTTCCAATAACCCACCTTTGCATAAACCCTGAATTATCATTGTATAGCTGTAAGCATTAGGGGTTATTCCATTCTTCTGCATTTTCCTAAAAACTCTAATGGCATCCTCGAATTTACCAGATTTACAGAAGGCATCGACCACTGCAGTGTAAATCACGATTTCAGGGATTGTTCCTTTCTCTCTCATGGTTCCAAAGAGCTTCATGGCTTCTTGAACCAACCCATCCTTACAGAGACCATCAAGCATGGCAACTGCGTTGGGTATCATACCAGTTTCCTTCATTTTCTTGAATATTTCTTCTGAATCTTGGGTTTGTTCTTGTTTAAGTTCTTCAAGTTTTGGGGTTTCAGCAAGAGGAAGGTCTTTGTTAATTGCTTCTTCACCTCTAGCTCTGGTTCGAACCATGTTGCCATTGTCATCGAGCTCGAATTTGTTAATGGCTTCCTCGCTGTTTTCAATTGGGTTTCCTCTAAGGGGCCTATTGGGAATTGTGCTGAGGTTCGTGTAGTTAGAGGGAGAATGGGGTGAAGGGGGAGATGGTGAAGAGAGAGAAAGAGGGGATGGAGCTCTTGACAATGTGCTGAAATTCGTATGGGAAGAGAGAGAATGAGGAGATGAAGGCAATGGTGTAGAGAGAGAAGAGTGGGGAAATGGAATCACCCTTTGCCAGAGGAAAGAGAAAGTAGCTTCAGGGGGAAGAAGGAATTCATGAGCGGAGATAAGAAGACGATTGAAATTCCTCGATCGCATGGCTCTTCTTTTAGGGTCAAGTGAGAGAGAGAGAGAGAGAGAGAGAGGAGGTATAGGAAGGGAGAGGAAGGGG